GGCAATCTTTGCAAGTATCAGTAAGCTTGCTGTGATTCTGAGTTCCTGAATCTGTTGGATTTGCAATTCTGGTAATTTAATTTGCTGACAATATATTTAATTTGATTAATTTATTTATATTTTGATCCTTATAAATCAAAACTCTTGAACCCTTTAGTTTCGTTCAACATGCAAACCAACTTATCAAGGAAAGGTCCCTTCAATTATGTTTATTCTTTAAAATACTCGAGTTTATGAACTCTGATTGGGGCAGACAACTTATTCCATACAACTTATTGACTGCAGGTGGAATATTTGCATTGTATTCATTGCTTTGGAGGAAAATAAATACTGTAACCCTTTCTTCTGAGCTAGCTAATTCAAACTCAATCTTGCCTGAAAGCACTGAAAGGAAAAGTAGGCTCGTCAAATTTTTTCAGAAAAGTATAGTTGCCAGAAGCGTGTTGCTTTTTGTTGCTTGTTTAGGAATGTGCATGCTAATTGGCGATGGCATCCTTACCTCCGCAATCTCAGGTTTGTATCCAAGTTTCTTTTATTTTATTTGGCATGCTGTTTTATTGTTGTTGTTGTTATTATTATTATTATTAACATTATGTATCTGACTTCAAAGAATTTTTTTGCAGTTTTGTCAGCAATGAATGGAGTGAAAGAACGCTTTGATTCTGTTAGTGAATGTATGTCTTGATAATGGTTCTTGACTATGAGTTATGAAGTTTAGCAGATTTGCCTGGTGAAAGTAGTCTGTCTTGATAATGATTCTTGATAATGACTTCATTCATGACAATCTCATTGCAGGTTAAGGGTTTAGTCATTTTCTATGTGGAAATAACATTTGTAGGCTGTGTTCGTTTACAGAATTTGATAGCAAGGGAATATTTTGTGTCTCATTCAAGAATATGAGTGATGCTAATAATTGAATGAACCAAAGGCCAGGTCCTGAAGGCAGAAAGAAATTGACAAATTCTATCATGAACAAAGGAAGAATTTGGTCCAATCAAAAAAAAAAAAAAAAAAAGAGGAAATGAAAAAAGGAAGAGAGAATTTGGCAAGTTATACTTAAATACCACAAAATTATTAAAGTGATAAATAGTAAGACCAATTAATGCAACACAAAGTGGTTTAATAATGCACGTTTTGAACTTAAGGGACATAAAATCATTTTTAGGTGCTTAAGTTAACTAGTTTTATAATTTTATTAATGTGATGGTATTCATTATCATTAATGCCTCACTGGTTTGTTAACACCACAGCTCTGGTGGAAGTCCTTTCTGCAGTAGTTCTTGTCATTCTCTTCCTCCTACAGAAATATGGCACTTCTCGTGTGAGCTTTATGTTTTCTCCCATCATGGCTGCATGGACTTTGAGCACTCCAATTATTGGAATTTATAGCATTGTACGTCATTACCCCAGTATATTCAAGGCACTATCACCTCATTACATCTTTCTTTTCTTTTCAAGAAATGGAAAAGAAGGGTGGCTGCTGCTTGGTGGTACCATCCTCAGCATCACTGGTAAGCCTTGATTTTAAAATACTGAGTTATAATTATTATGAATTAGTTTATTATCTTTTGTGTTTGTCTATTTCCAATGATCACCTGCCCTTGAGCATTATCAACACAAACAATTAGCTGCACAATGTAAATTGTTGTCATACCATTTAGTATGCATTAACAGGAAAGTTGAAAAGCAAAGAGGAAAGAAATTTTACAGGAAAACGTTAGTCAATCATCAGAATGCAATTATACAGAACGAAAAAAGGAAAAAAAAACTATGATGCAAAAATTCTGGTCTTCTGTGATGTGATTAAAACATGTGATAAGTTGTAGTTATGTTTTCTTTGCCATGCCTTTTTCCATGAAAATTGGGAGTAGTCTTTTACTTGAGGCTTTATGCAAATCACATTCATCATAACTCAGAAAAAGCAATAGCATCATCTTGAATGAAGGAAAAAGCAGAAAACAAGAAAGTGATGACAGATTTACATTATAGCGAGACTCAAATTTATGATTTAAAATTTAATCCTTGTTTGACGGAGTTAGAATGCATTTTTTTGTTGATTTTGATGGGAAATTATACCTTGTTTATTTATTTTAATCAGGAAAGAAGTTAAATATAAACTATTATAGATGTTTGAACTCTTGACCTTGATACCCTAAAAAATAAGGTTTTGAAATTAATGAGTTCTAACTCAGCTAAGCTCTTGTTAGAAGTACTCATCTTTCATGTTTTATGGTCTATGCTTGCTTGTGTCTTTGAATTGTCCCAAGTTTGATGGATTAAGCATAGAGAGAATTTTTGCATCCTTTTACATTCTTTCACATTTTTTTAAACGTAGGACTCTTTTCCATACCCTTTGATGTTGCTATCATGTTGTACTTGTAGGTTCTGAAGCAATGTTTGCAGATCTAGGTCATTTTAACAAGAGTCCCATTCAGGTAAAACATAGTTTCTACCCTGAGACGTCGTTCTTTTTGTAAATAATGGATTCCTCATACTATATATCTTTGTCGACAGATGGCTTTCTTGTTTATGATATATCCATCTCTGGTTTTTACATATGCTGGGCAAACAGCATATTTGATTAAGAACCCTGACGATTTCAAGGATGGATTTTACAAATTTATACCAAACGCCGTTTACTGGCCAATCTTCATCATAGCCACACTGGCTACAATTGTCGCCAGCCAATCTGTGATATCTGCGACTTTTTCTGTTGTCAAGCAATCTGTTGTGCTGGATTGTTTTCCTCGAGTGAAGGTGGTGCACACGTCTCCCAACAACGAAGGAGAAGTTCACTCTCCAGAAGTGAATTACATCCTTATGATTCTTTGTGTTGCAGTGATACATATATTTGGAGAAGGAAATATCGCAAACGCTTTTGGTATGCTAAACTAATACTACTAAGATCTCTATCTGTTTTTGCATGCAACAGCCATTATTAGTTAAAGACTATAAGAACATCATTTACCCTTGGAAGGTCAATAATGAATTGTGCTTTTACTGATAATAGAATCTTTATTGTGAAAATATTATTTTTTCTGGTTAAATATTCATTCTTTTTTTTGTGTTGGTAATTATCATACTGTGTTCTGCTTCTAAAACCAAAACTATTAAGCAGCAAGTCAACAGTCTTCTTGTGGCTAATACAATATTCTAACCATAACTTGTTGCAGGTGTTGTTGTTAGCCTAGCCATGCCCATTACAACCATATTACTGACATTAGTCATGGTCATTAGCTGGAGAACATCACCATTGCTGGTTGCACTTTTCTTCTCTGTATTTTTCACGATGGAGAGTGTTTATGTGAGTGCAGTCTGCACCAAAATTCCTGAGGTTGGATGGATGCCTTTGGCCATATCTTTAATCCTTGCCTTCATTATGTTCGGCTGGTGCTATGGGAGACAGAGAAAGATAGAGTACGAACTAAAACACAGGATTGACTTGGAAACACTCAAAATGCTGTTGTCTGACCCCGCCGTTCAAAGGGTTCCTGGATTGTGCTTCTTCTACACCAACATTCAAGATGGTTTCACTCCCGTCCTGGGACATTATATCGCAAACATGAGATCTCTTCACAAGGTTACTATTTTTACAACACTTCGGTATTTGCTGGTACCAAAGGTTGATCCAGATGAGAGGATTATTGTCAACAAATTAGGACTGGAAGGCGTTTATCAGTGTCGGATCCAGTATGGCTATGCTGATTCCCTGAACCTGGTGGGAGACGATTTGGTCAGTCAAGTCACTCGGAGCTTACAGGCACATGTAGAAAACGGCTGGCGTGGTTCACCAGCTGAGATTTCTGTACCGGAAGAGAGTTTACAGGCAGATGTAGAAAATGGCCTGGGTTGTTCACCCTCTGAGATTCCTGAACTGGAAGAGAGCTTACAGGCAGGTGTAGAAAACAGCTTGGGTTGTTCACCATCTGAGATTTCTGAGATTCCTGAACCGGATGAGATCTTACAGGCAGATGTCGAAAACGGCTTGGGTTGTTCACCATCTGAGATTTCTGAGGTTCCTGAACTGGATGAGATCTTACAGGCAGATGTAGAAACCAGCTCGGGTTGTTTACCATCTGAGATTTCTGAACTAGAAGAGGCCAAAAAGGCTGGTGTGGTTCACATTCGGGGAAAGACAAGGTTTGACATTAGTAAGAAATGTAGCAGGTTTGACAGATTCATGCTTGTCTTTTATGAAGTTCTTCATGGTATTTCCAGGTCTGCTCTGCCTACTCTAGGGGTGCCGCTACCACAGTGTATTGAGGTTGGGATGGTTTACGAGGCTTAAAGAGATACTTGTATTAATGGTTCAATCAAATTCCGCTAGATGCAATATGTAGGTAAGTAGTAGGAAAGCATATTGCAAGGTTCACATTTCTTGAACCAGATTAGGTCCTGACTTCCTATAATATCATCTATTTTGTCTATTTTGTGAGAACTTCACCTGTCTACAGTACTTTTTTCTAGGAAAAAGGAACACAAAACCTTCCTAAGGGAGTGTGTAGTACTCTTGTATGGTTAAATTTGTTGGGATCAAATTGTTGTTAGTTTTAGTTGTTTACTGGAGTCTATATTTGCTAGCTAAGATGTGATATAAGATAGGACTATCATTTTATGTTAACAGATATTAGTTGTTCTTTATACGCATGAGCCTTGAGCTAAATTGAAAAGTTGAGGGGGTTTTATTTGTAAAAATCAATTTGAGGGCTTCATTGATCAAACATAAAAGTTCAAGTGCAAAAATTAATGCTTTTTTCTAAATTTTATTTCGCTGTTAAAGGAAAAAAAAAAAAAGGAAAAAGAATAAAGCGTGTTTAGAAATCAAACCTAAAGGTTTTTATTCTATTTTATTTTATTTCTAATACCTAAATTACATATTAGAAAATTTAGATTTTAATTTAGTTGACATTTAACACCTAAAAAAATTTAACATCCATCGAAAAAACCTAAGAAAATTTAATTTTCTTGAAATAATTTTTTTTTAATGTATTAATTAGGATGATGGGAGACACACCCTTTATTGTAAGTGTACTTCGTCTTCGTTAGTAATTCAGACAAACAAAAACACTAACAAAACATGTGTGAAGACAAGGTCAGCCGTAATGTTACTCCCATACAAAAAACAGAGTCCATGACTGTGTCCAACTTAGTAATGCTGCGCACCTCGGACCTAGTCATGTCTCTCCCTTGAAGCTCTCGACACCATGTAAGAACTACATGCTTCTGGAGATCTCCAAACCATGCATATTTTATAACTAAATGGAAACAGGTTATATGCTTTCATGGTTTTGGCTTGAAACCCTCTTTTTATATGTATGTAAGCCCTTCATGGTATATATTTAAAGATCAAATAAATATGAAAAAGAGGTGTGACAACAAGCATGAAAAGGGCAAGATAAGATTGTGACTAGAAGCAAACCTACTTTAACCCTATTATTATCATTTAACTTAACTATCCATTATATCACTAAAACTTCCTCTATAGATAAAAACATAAATTGTCTACAAATTTTTAATCTATAAAAGAAGTCACAAAACAACAATTATTTTGAGACGTAAGGAGTACCTGAGAAGTGAGAAGAAAATATAAGGATCGGCTGCTATATCAGACAAGAAGCAAGATGCATCCACCAAATTATTAAGGCTCTTTTGATAACACTGCCTACAACACTTTTCTCCCACAACTACAGTACTTAATTTTCACATTTGGTACATTATTTGCCACAACTTTTTTGGATAGTACAGAGCCACCTTATAAAAGATTAATAGAATTCCCAAAATACCATTATTAATCATATTTTTCTTTCCACTCTTATCGCATAGTACAGATTTTCTCCATATCAAACAACTACAATTATGCAAGAACATCAATTCCTTCTAAATCTTGTGTTCTTATTCATCACAAACTTTGATCAGACAACAATTACTCTTTAAAATGATCAAAAAATCAAATTAAAACATTATAATTTGATTGGTAAAAAAATCTTCCCCCCTTCTCTCAATTCCCTTCAATCCAAATATACAGTTAGTATATTATAAAAATTATTAAAATCTTCAATCACCCCAAATAAATATGCTTTGACTTTTGATTTCAAGAGCTTTATTTAAAAAAAAAAAAAAAAGTGAGGTTAATGCGAGGCTAACCAAACAACATGCCAAGCCACGTTATTCAAAGTCTGCTTCAACCTATATGTTTTGGTGCAAATATCA